GGGATGGGAGACCCCACTGCTGCCCCAGCCAAGCCCCCCAGCCCCTTCCTTCCCCCTCGCCAGCCATGCAGCCCCTCTCTCCAGCACTGCTCAGGCTTCATGTGTTGCGTCTGACCCCTCCGCCATGTCCTGAGCCCCCCATGGCCAACAACCAGGGTCCCCAAATGCCACCTGAGCACCGGAGCGGGGATGCAGCTGGAGATCCTGCTTGGCTCTGCCTTCCAGGAGGCTGCTCACAGCCGTGCCAAGAGCCATTTTGCCAACGGCTCTGCCTGGCTGGCGGCCTCAGGAACCTGAGCCAGCTCTAGGATGAGGGGTGGCTGGCTTTGCTTTTTTCCCCTGGTTCAGAAGGCTCTGATCCTGCTCCACCGTGGGGCTGGATGGGGAGGATGTGCCCAGGCACGACCTGCAAACCCACAGGAAAAAGTCCCTCCCAATTTATTGTGACCCTTATTTTTTTTCATTTAGCGTCTCTATGCTAAATAAATACACCCAGGCACTGCTGCCAGGCTAACGGTCTCCCACCATAGTAAGGTGCATCTTTCAGTGCTGAACAGGAAGGAGTCAGTGGGAACTGGGCATGTGTGTTTTATCAGGTTAATTAATTAACTTGACCAAACATGTTTGCCCTGTTCGAGGAGAAGACATAAAAACATGACTTGGTAGTGCTTAGAGTAATGGACATGCATCAAACGACAGCAGCTGAGGCGGTGGTCATTACATGCGCAGAGTGATCACGTTCAGCACATAAAAACGGAGGAAGCGGGTCACACAGCTGCCTTTATATAGCTAGGTACTGGTGTTTGGCAGCAGTTCAGACCCACATCAGGCTGGGTTGTCTAGAAGGATGAAAATGAGTCTTCAGTTATACTGCCTTTCTTAGCACGTTTGAGCTGAAGATGCAGAACCTTGGATGCGCCTCCAAAGTTGAGTGACATTTGAGTGCAGCGTTTCATTTCAGGAGGCATTACTTAGAGTCGTAAGCCTTGAAGTTCTGGTCTGGATGCAAAACCACATCTAGATTTTGGATTCATCTTTGGGTTTGGATCCTCTCTGATTCCTTCCAATCCTCACATGATGGAGTAGAGGTATCTACAGCAAACATAGCAATATGAGAGATTTTTCTACATAAGGCAGAAAACCGCACCATCCTTCCAAAACCTCCCTTATTTATTCCTGACTTTTGGCACCTGTGAGTTTGGAGGGGAAGCTTGTTGTAGACCACAGTTCCAGTGACAGTGTTCTCTTGTTATTAGTGAAAACTCTTATGTTTGCATTCAGAAGCATGTTCATACCTTCCAGTAACATCATAAACCAGGTGCTAGAGATAATACAGTAGAGGAAGTACCGATGACTTGACATATGTTGTGTTTAACAATCCACCACTGAATCAGCCGCTGGCTGACCTGGCTCGCAGGTGGGTTTTGCTCCCACGTGCCACTACTTGCAAGAGAAAAGGAGGTGGCAAGGTCTCTCCCATCCCCTTGGAATGGCACCTGCTGCGGTGGCACACGCTTGGCACACTCAGCTCCTCCAAGAGCGATCGCTCCTTAGCCGCTATTTCTCCCGTTTTCTGAATAAAGAGCCGAAAATAAGCCAAGGCCGACATTTCTAGGTTCTCCTGTTTTGACATCGTGCAAGTACAAATACTTCAGTCAAAGCAACCTCTTGTTCCAGTCTTCCATGGACTTGCAGGGTGCAAAATGGTCCTGCTTAAACCTCAAGTACTCACTTATAAGGTCCCTGCTTGGGACCTTAGAAATGCCTCTAAATATCTGCAGGGTGGGGGTCAGGAGGACGGGGCCAGACTCTGTTCAGTGGTGCCCAGCGACAGGACAAGGGGCAACGGGCACAAACTGAAGCAGAGGAAGCTCACGCCGGACCCGAGGAAGAACTTCTTCCCTCTGAGGGTGACGGAGCCCTGGCCCAGGCTGCCCAGGGAGCCTGTGGGAGATATTCCAGCCCCTCCTGGACGCGGTGCTGTGCAGCCTGCTGTGGGTGACCCTGCTTGGGCAGGGGGTTGGGCGGGGTGACCCCCAGAGGGCC